AACGCCCCCTCTTCGAATGGGTCCAAAGGATCCTGCTACTGCTGCAAGCAGTTTTACCTCACTTTTTCTTTAGTGCGTTCATCAAGGTCTACTAATATCTGCCTTGCCACTATTTCAATCAGACATAGCCCTGCGATTACCAGCGCTGCCTCCTTTGAAGTAGTTCTGAGCGCGCAACATCCTTTTTAGCGCTGCATACCAGATTGGCGCGCCGTACACACGTATGCTTACACCACACTCACGTATACCTGCCAGCACTCTAGTTTAAGACCTCCGACATTCAGCATTTATGTATATCGAGACCCTGCGGCAACTTTCTCGGCTTTCCCTAATGCATAGCTGATGTGCGGTTTAAATGTTCAGTTCGAGTGCCTCAATGTCCACTACATTAGAGCATCCCTACTACTTAAAGACGCGCTGAGCGTCTCCGCGATATACCTTTATTACGACCTCATCGAGGCCATAAAATACTCGGCCTTGCTTCTTCTCCAGGAGTTCTAGAGACTCCTTATTCAGAGAAAAGTCTACCTGGCTTGACGAACCATCATCCCGGATAATCCTGCAATCACTCGTCGGGAGAGCTGGGTTCATTAGCGGAAGCATCTGAAGGATGTTATCCGCAAGTGTTGCCGCAGGGTAAATACGGCCTTCAGGGTCATGGACATATCATAGGGAAACAAAAGCTTATTATTAAGTCACAATATTGCATTAACTTAAAACTTATTATATTCGATTTAGCTTAGCTGAAATGAATTCTTAAATTTTTGAATTCATGCCTGATTGCAGACGAAATTGAAAAAGTACCGAAAAAGGTACAAATGTACCTACAAAATTCACACTGGTTAGTAGGTATAAGTAAATATTTATTAAATATGTACAAGTTTAAATTAAAATTAGATTACATGACTTGATTTTATTTGTATTTTCTTCAGCTGTATTTTATTTTTATATATTTACAAGCAGACCCGGCGAACTTCGTCCCGCCCAAAATTTGTATATATTTTATTGAAACTTTTTGGTCCAACATTTTCACCAACAATTCACGTTTACGGTTTTCATTGGCACATTTGTCTGCTAAGATTAAGGTTTGGTGGTCATTTGCCGCTTTAAATAACTTAAGGAAAGTGTTATATCCGTTCTTGAAATTCTCCAGTTGTGCGGCATTTCATAGCACGGTTATTCGCAAAGCGAAATCAATTTTTTCCTCTTCACTCCCTGGCGGCAACAATGACCCGGTTCTAT